GTTATATTGGGCCACTGTGGGAAGGTGAGAAGTTAGCTTCCTTCTCACCTTACCCACAGTAGGCAAGTTGTACATATACTACTTGCCTCTTTATCTATTCACCTTCTCACCCACAGCAGCAGCAGCAGCAGTGTGCCCTGGACAGGGCTGTGTTCCTTTAGGGTTGTGGGCCATGGGGGGAGTCATGGGGACCCATGAGACATCCCCTGACACATGCATGCCAGCTGTCTGTCTCTCTGTGAGTAGCTACAAGGTATCCAGGTCAGAAAGGTGCCATGATGGGGATAGCTGGAGAGCAGTTTGAGTTTCACAACTGACTAGCCTTTTTCTGATCTGTCTTTCATGAGACCTTCTAGGCTTATGAATGAAGTGATGATTGTAAGTGTCACAACACAGTAAGGCATGATTTCACTATGATCCTTTCCTCTCTCTGCTTGGTACTCAGAAACTGGATTCAAGGTAAGTCTGTATGATCACTGTGGAGCTGCTTCTGCTTACATACTAGCTAGCTTCATAAAGTCCTCAGCTCCTATGTCATGGAGATGATTGGTGAGATGGCTCCAACCATGATGAAGGTAATGTGTGTCTCCCCTGATGGAGCGAGGGCTAACAGAGTGTTTCAGTGTTAACTTTATTCCATGTTCCTTTGCCCCATGTTCTTCCTTTTTTGTTTTTGTTTGTTTTTTTTTTGTTTTTCCTTCTTTTATGAGATGAAGGCTTCTCCCTTGTACATCCCAGATGGATCACATTGGATTTGGATTTGGATCCCAAGGGTAAGGCTGGATGGAAGAGGTGTTTGAAGGGATCTGGAGGAAGGTTGGGTTCTGTTGGGAGGGATTTAGCCAGCATGTATAGGTGTGAACAGTGTGGAGTCACTCAAACATGTCTAACACCTTATGAAACACATTATGAAATTGTTCAGGCCATATCTATATTGGAAACATAAAAACAGCATTGAAAATATCTAAAATCAGGATCTGGTGGTTTGCAACGTTTCAGGCCAATTGGCCCAGCCATTGTGAGGCAGCAGCAGTGTGATTTTCTGCCCTTTTTAAGAGAATGGGGAGGAATTCTCCCTTCTTGACCTGTTCTTAAAGTGGCATAATCCATGGGAGGTCCAAGACTGGTTCTTCTACAGATCTTATGACAGATCTTACAAATCTTACAATGTAATCTATGGGAGTGTCATCTCAGAATTTTCACTCCACTGTAAGGGATTAACCTATTCCCATTATAGTGATGCTGTTATTTCTTTATTTATTTGCACTGAGATATGTAATTTATGTATATATATATAACTTGGAGTAGTTGTAAAGGCCCCACATAAAACCCCTTCCATTCATGCTACAACCCAATACAAATTTGACATCTAAAAATAGTACTAATTCTTATGATTCAGATGATATCAAGAACATCCCAAACAGTGGAGAATTGACAGAGTTCTGCATTGGACAGGTGAGGCACAGCAGGTCATGAGTATGTGCAGGCATGGGAATCTCAAGCAGCAACCCAGAATTCCAGCCTCACTTGTTCCCACAGTGTCTAATAAATTGGTAAAAATGCTTATTGGCTGTGTGAGAGTTATCCCTGGCTTCTTTTGCAATTTTGGCTCTTAATTCCATAAATCTGTTGAGAAATCACTTATTTTTTATATTTTCATATTTTGCCATCATTTCAGATATTGATTGATTTTCTTTTATTGTTACTGTTACCCTTTTTTATTATTTCACCAATAAGGTACCCAGGTGCCATATGGCACCAATACTCCCCATTTATTGTTTCTAAAAATAATTATGAGATATAATCCTGTACATACCAGATTTTGAAAGGAAGTTTTCCCCTCCCCCAAAGTCTCTAAGGTGCTAGGACATGCTAGATTTGGTGTGAGTGTGTGGAATTCCAACAGTAGGAACAAGGGCAGTGGTCTAGCTCACAACAAGTGAGTAGTGGACACTGAGCCCGGACCTTGCAGAAATCCTAGAGAACATCAGGGCATGCCTTCGGGTTGCTAGCATAAGTAGCGCATTGCCACATGGCCCGTGATCCCATCAGCTTCTGCTTCTTTTCTGCTTCTTCATCTCTGCTTTGATCCAGTCTGCAGCTGTCGGTTATGATGCCACATGATCTTCTATCTTCCTTGATCCGATACTACCAGTTATTAGTTAGTTGGCTAGTTACCACCTCTACCATGTACATAAGACCATGTGCTGGTGTGGGCATGTCCCCCAGCTTTGCTATCAACTAGGTTTTGGGGACTTTCCTTGTTGCAAGCACACACGACCCTGACAAGAACGCACATGGAGTTTAAGGATCGAGAGCATAGCAAAGTCTAGTCAAGAAAGTAGAGTTTGGAGAGTTTGGCCCCTTGAGCTTAGTGGGCATAGAGAGCAGCAAGCCCTCTTTCAGCATGGCAGTCACAGAGATGTGACAATTCATCCTAATGGAACTATGTCACTACAAATCCAAGTGGGTCATATACTATAGCCTAACATGAGTGTATTTTTGGAACTGGAGGTGGGATAACCTCTTGGGAGTTGGCAAGGGAGAGGGTTGGGTACAGATATGACAGTCATCTCTCTGGTACTTAAGTAAACCCCAAATAAAAAATCCAAAAAAATATTTTCATGATCTGAGGAACCCAGGCAGTCATTAAATTTCACTCACAGTGGACAAGAATACAAGAAACCAAGCAAGCAAATACAAATACATGAGAAAATAAATTCTACAAGTTAATGGACCATCCCAAAAAATTAGGAAAAATACAACAAAGAAGTGGAGAACTCTGAAACACTCTTTTGTCAAAGATTCAATAACTTGTGGAAAAATATACAATTTCAGGTGTTTCAGCAATTTCCCCTCTTCTAACTTGGTCAAAAAGTGTCTGTCCATGCCAAGAGATACTCTTCCATATGATATCTGGTCCACCAGACTTTGGAGTGTCAATATATTGAAGGCTTGGCCCTCACTCAGGGACAGGATATCAGGGTGCTGGACCCTGTCCTTAGCTCCTCAAAATCACTGAAAGGATTTAGTGGGGATTGAGTTGAGAAGAAGGGTAAGTTTCCCTATTCCCCACTAGGCTGCTATAAAAGGTCTACTAAACAGTTTGTAGTGTGACCTCTGGTAAAAGCCTGTCCCCCAGCCCATGTGATTTTTCCCACAGGTTTGCCTTGGGCTCAGGGCTGTATACATGCTTGAAAAAATAGAAGAAAAATGGGGAAAGGTGGGGAGCACAGGAGGAGACTGGGGGTGGGGTTTTGGGGTCATATGGTCAAGTGTGATGCCCTGACACATTACTACAAGGTGTTTCACTGTTTGGGCAATATCTCTGCCAGTTTTGAAGCTTTTAGAATGAAACAAAACTGTGGAAAAAGTTGAGAAACAGTGCTTTCAGATGGTAAAGAGATTACAGTCAGAGATTTTCTGGTTCCCTAGATATTTAAGATTCTTTCCCAATGTTCCCTTTTGTTCTGCCATTTAGGTGCTATTTACTTGCTGTAGAGATATATTTTGCTATGTTAAGCATTTTGAACTTATCACCTAGTTATTGAGTATTCTGGTGATTCATTGTTTTATTCTTCAGATATTATTTCTCCTACAGTGCTGAAAGAGAGCTAAGAGCTCTCAGTGCCAACAAAGCGTGAGGGGAAAACCACTCCTTTCTCTGATAGCCTTGATCCTAAAACTCCAGGAAATTCTCCAGAAATTCTGCAGCACTCTGACACCTCCTAGTGCCTTAGAGAAATTGGGGAGGGGAGAACTTGTGTTCCAAAAATCCAGTATGTGTCAAGGCACAGCCCTTGACCCCACACACCCTCAGATACCTCTCCCCCATCCTCACCCTTCTCCCATATTCCCCTATTTTCCCTTCACTGTTTCACAATAGCACATGCATGTCAGATATGTGTGCCACTACTGTTTGTCTAAGGGGGTCCTTAATTTTGGGGCTGGCAAGGTAAGTCTTGAGGTTGGAATTCAAGGGGATTTCTGGTGGCAACTTTACACTAGGGTACAGGCAATTATGTACATAGTCTATATATAAGGAGAGATGGAGGACAAAAGAACAAAGGGAGGTCTGAATCGGACCAAGGTTGGTCCAAATCAGAACAAAAACAAAGGTGTCCAAACAGAGGTAAAGGGAGTTCAGAATAGGAACAACACCTAGGGTCAAGGGTTTGACTCTATGGTGTGTTTGAAAGGAGGTAGAGAGGGCAGGAGGATGGGAATATTGGCAATGGTGTTTATGTGAAATGATGTCACCAATGCATGACTACTTCCTGCTTTGACAATTACTAGTTATGATGGGGTGATGGGCTATTCCCTTCAGACAATGCATCAATTGATGATGTGTGATTAGTGATATTCTTATTGATGTGCAGACAGCTGACTCATTGCTTCTGTGGAAGGATACCTGACCCTATTGAGATGGCTGATAATTGATGGTGGGTTTCTAGTTGGTCATCACCACCTTATCATTTCAATTAGCATTTATCTCTGACCTGTTGGTTGCTCTACCTTCACTTATTATCAACTTCATTATTTGACATTTCCCCTGTTACATTGGGTAACTGATGCTTAAAACCTTGATGTTTGTCTTCACTGATGCCCTGCAGTTCTCTTCACTTTTATGCTCATGAGACTGGGGTACTTATTATATTTTTACCAAGGTCATTCATTCACTTACCCTATATCTCTACCTAGTCCTACTTTTATAGTGTTGAACATTCCCTCAGGCACCTACTAGGATACTACACATGGGACCCCAAAAATCCCAAATAACTCCTCTCCTGTCTCAGTCTGAAGTCAACATCACCTACTACTGGATGTTTATGACTCTACTTCATCAGATGTCCCAGGATGCTGATGTATTGAAGCAATATGTTCTTGGTCAAATGCAGAGCTGTTAACCACTCTATTCCACTTACAATCCCACTGCCCATGATTTATCCTGAAGGGCACTCAAGGATTATCTGGAACACATGGGAGCAGAGTGTGAGAGCATGTCTGAATTTATTCAGAAACTCACTACCATTGAACATGCTTTACAATATCAACATGCCACTCTTGGTAACTTCCTTCAACCTGTGGCCACAATCCCTGTGGAAGTTCTACAAAGAATATCCCTATATGCCATTCAAGATAAAAAGGATTTTGATGGTAATTGTCCTCCTCCTATGACCCCTCTCTGCTAATGTGCCATTCAAGAGAATAGCCAGCATTTTTCTTCTCCAATTGCCCTCAGTCAAGTCAGCTCCACTTGGAGGCATGCAGCTCAATCATGTCCTGGAATATGTGCACCACACATCCATTATTCCAAGGGCCTCCCTTTAGAAGTCTGTGAGGGAACACACCATCTTATGCACAGAGGGATAGTTGGGCTTGAGAGCCCTGATGTCCAGAGCAGGATAACAGCTCTGTCATTAGTCCTGGAGAGGCTTCATGGGGTGGTAGGTGATTTCTGGGAAGATAAGGGTGTGTTACATGGGTCCATTGAACGATTGACTCTCTGGGTGCCTTACTCTGCTGAGCATGACTATGCTTATCAGGAAGTTCTGTCCCATCTTCCATTACTCCATCACCTCACTATCAGTGGTGGTTTCATACCACTTTCAACCACTCCATCAGCAAACCTCTCTACCCTGGCTCTCATCAACCTCTTTGTTGGAAGACAAGAGTTTACTTGGTTGCTGGGTGTCTGTAAAAATCTCCAGGAATTGACCCTGGATAGGGTGACCATCTATGGGAGTGGCAACATAACCAGTAGCCAGGGGTTAATCCCATCTCTCCACACTCTTTCCATTCACTATCCCAACCCTACCACTGCATTTCTATTTAAGGGCTACAGGGCACCTCATGTCCAACACTTTGCCTTGAGTTTTCCCCCCACTTGGGATGACTTTGCATGGGGGTCAGACAATGTCAATCCTGCTGATTATGATGTGGACTGGCTTGTGCTCCTGGATGCTGTGGAGGATTTTGTAAGTGGACACAGCACTTAGTGACTTTGCTTTACTAAATTACTTGTGTCTCTCAGAGCTACTTCACATGCCAATGATAAAGGTTTTCAGGTTGGAGGGGGGGGGGGGGTTGAGAACCTTGAGTCATGCCCTTAAACAATTATGGCCTCTGTCATATCCCAGATCTTCTGCCTCCCTCCACCCTATCACTACACAACTCCTATGACCTCCACCAGCCCTCCCAACATCAGCAAACCTGGTATGGACCTCTCAGAGCTCTCAGAGCTCTGTGAGCAAATTGAGTCTTTTGCTGTGCACCCTCTACACATAGAGTCAAGAAAATGAAATATATATATGATTTTGTTCTCATAAGGATGCAGAAGTGCAAAGATAATATGGATATCCATTTTTGGAAATGCATGTGAAATAGCCATCATCATCACTCGAAAAGCTCTATGAGCTCATAGAGCTTTGTGTTTTTTTTTACTAATGAATGGTCTTCATGTCTCCATGGAATCTGCTGAGTTATCTTGGCACCAGTAGTGCAATGGTAATATGGATATATGTTTCTGTAAATGTGTGGAAAATAGCCATCCTCATCACTCCAAAGGCTCCAAGGGCTCTATGAGCTCTATGATCTCAGCAGGCTCATAGACCTCATAGACCTTTTGTGTTTACTGATGTATCCATGGAATATGCTGAGATACAGCACCTTGTTTATTGCTATTTGCAAAATTTGAGGAAAAGTCCAAAATTCAAAACTTTGCACTTTATCTTTCATCTCATTTCTTGCTCAAAACTCATCCAATTTTGATGATTCTATCTATGTGCATTGGAAAGCACTTAAGTGTGGCAACGTAACCATGCATGTTATGTAGGGTATAAATCAGTTTTGAAAAGTGTCCCAAAAAGAGTAAATTTAAAATACAGCCCAACAAAGCAAACAGGAAGCTGATGTATCCTTCAGATATCATCCATACATCCATACCAAGCCTTTTGAATTGTCAAAATTGGTTGAATTTTGGGTGAGAAAGGAGATGAAATATATAGTGTAAATTTTTGGATTTTGGAGTTTGCCTTGAAAAGGTGATTTCAATTTTTTTAAATTATTTCTAAATGTCCTGAAATTTCTCTCCCTAACATTTCCCAAGATTTCTGAATTTTCCCTAATTTTCCCTGATTTTTTAGAAAATTTCCTTTTCTCAATTTTTTTTGAAAGTCCCCCATTTCTCCCTGAATTTTCTGAAATTTCCTTAATTTTCCCTGACTTTTTTTCAAGTTTTTAGAAACCCCCCAGTTCCCCCTTATTTTCCTCCCATTTTCCCCTTCATCCCCCCCCCCCAATTCCCTCTGCAATTCTCCCCCCATCCCCCCCTTCAATTTTCCCCTCATCCCCCCCCAATTCCTCCTTAATTTTCTCCTCATTTCCCCTTCATTCTCCCCTCCAAATTTCACCCATTCCCCCCCTCAATTACCCCCATTTCCTCATTTCCCCCCTCATTTCCCCCTTCAATTTCCCCCATTTCCTTCCTCATTGCCCCCTCCAAATGTCACCCCATCCCCCCCCCTCCATTTCCCCTCATTTTCCCCCTCATTTCCCCCCTTCAATTTTCCCCTCATTCCCCCCCTCATCCCCCCTCCAAATTTCCCCATTTCCCCCCTCATTTCCCCCCATTTCCCCCCCATTTCCCCCCTTTAATTTTCCCCTCATTCCCCCTCCTAATTCCCCCCTCATTTTCTCCCTCATCCCCCCCCCAATTCCCCCCCATTCCCCCCCTCAATTTTCCCCTCATTTCCCCCCCCTTTCCCCCTCATTCTCCCCTCATTCTCCCCTCATTTTCCCCCTCATTTTCCCCCTCATTTCCCCCTAAGTTGGATTAACCCTATTTATAACCCTAAATTCAGTGTATATATCAATTGGGTTGTGTGGCCTTGGTGTGCAGTGCCACATGAGGGGTTCAAGTTAAGTAGACTGTTGTCTGGTTGACCTTAGGGTAGGGACTTGACTGTGGCCAGTCACATGATACTGTAGTCAAGCTTTTTAATTTTTTGAATATTTTGTGAATTAAACATGGGCTCAGGGTGCTCATAGAGCTAATAGTCCTCTGTGGGCAAATATATCTCTATGAGCTCTCAGAGCTTTGAGCTACTTTCCCAAGCTCTCAGAGAGGAGGACCTGCAATTTTCAAAGTTCTTAGCTCTGTGAGCTCTCATACCTCCTGGTTGGGTTTGCTGATGAATCTCTCTCTGCTGCCTCTGGTCAATGCCAACACCCCTAGGACTACCTCCTCCTTCAACTCTCTCCTGCTCTGCCATCCACCTATGTCTGCATCACCTCTGGACCTCCACCACCATACCTCCACCTCCTTGGACCCCTTGTTCAAAGGAGATGTGCCTGCTCATTGTTGATAAATCTCAACTTGCCTATCCACCCTCCTTCCTACCTCCAGTCTCCGGCACCTCCTCACCTCCGGTACCTCCTCACTTCCGGTACCTCTGGTCTTGATAATCTTATTGTTTTATCATTTGATATTTTCTACAACCCCAATCTTCTGGACTACAACTTCCGGGCTCCGGACCTTTCCAGACACCTTTTCTCTGTAGTTCCCTGCTTGTTCATAGACGTTTCCAGACCTTGCCATTCAGTTGGCTTTTAATTCTCTCACTCCACAACCTCAGACGTAATTCGGGCTTTTTGCCTATTCCTTATTTGTCTTGTGGCTTCTTTTCTATTTACTTCCACTTCTCCTTGGTAACTGTCACAACTGACAAATCCCAGGGCTCTGTCAGTGGCAAATCAATGCCAACAGGCGATTCCACTGACCCGAACCCATCCTTACCAGCCCCAACCTGATGTCTGTTCTATCGACCATGCACCACTTCAGCACCTTCCACAACCTCTGTCCATTTCTGGTTGTCCTTGACACCTCTGGTCAGGCCAACACTCCCCTCCGTATCTTGCTGGCCATCATGCTGTCCTTTTGTGACAGCACTGACAGACCACCCTCTGTTGCGGACTCATCAGCACCATGCTGATTCCCACATCCCTTTGCAGACTTGTGTCGGCATCGCACCGACCCCGCATCCTGATTTGCGGACTTGTATCAGTGCCATGCACTGACCTCCGCTTTTCCTCTGGCCATTTGTCACTTGGCAGCTTATCATTCATTCCTTGCCAAGTGCCATTTATTGTTTGCTTCCCTGCCAATATCGGCATTTGATCCCCTCTTTATTGGCACTAGGTTATTGATCTCATTCAGTTATTCATCAATAACCCTTGCCACTTATTGTTTATTGATCTGTTCCTCGTTTCCAGTTCCCGGGCTCTTGTCCTTATTTAGTTTGACAATCCCTGCTTATCTCTGCACCGGACTGCACCGGACTGACCAGCCTTTCTATATTCCCTCTTTTGATTTCCCTTACCTACTTATACTTTGTAAATACTTTCGGGGACCTCAGTCTGAAATCAACTAGAGTACCCCCCCTGTCTGGTCTGAGTCTCTCCTTCTGCAAAGGGGGCTTCCCCCCCTCTGAGTCTGTGCTCGCGGAGTCCGTGCTCCTCCTACAGGTCCACTCCACCCGCAAGTCTTGTTTGAAGTCCGCTGTGAGTGTCAATCCGTAAATACGGGATCTCCCCCAAACATCAAGCTCAGGGCACAGCGCTCCACCTGAGTCACTGAGGCTGCGATCCCACTCTGCTAACCTTGAACAGCACTTCCGGATGCGCCGATATTTCCGCCCACATATCCACATGCGTGCTCCAACAGACCTCTGCATCACCTCCGACCCCAACTCAGACAGAAACCATCCATCTTCAGTCCATCCCCTGACAGTCTGCCCGACTCTGACAGTATTCCGTCTCTGACAATATTCCAGTCTCTGACAGCAATCCAGATCTCTGACAGTAACCTTTGTTTACCTTCAGATCCAATTGTTCCCACTATATGTATGCACGTACCCCTCTAGTAAATAGTTCCCCCAGCTATAATATAAACAGTCTTCAGCTCTCCAAAACCTCCTCCAGGACATCTATTGCATCCCACTCATCTGCTGCTCCAAAGAACTGAGTAACAGGTGCTCCTAGAGATGCCTTGGTATAACACCCAAAAGAATCACATGACAAATGATTGACCCTTGCTAATGCCTTCTTCGTTAAGTAGTGAGGGGGGGGCTTCCAGCCTTCTGCTGGCAGCCTCGGTTCCTTTGTCACCAGCTCCCCTGACAAATTGGGGACAACGAGAACATACCAGGTGCAGCGCTCTGTTCCAAGTTGCTGAAGCCAAGTCCCTTCAACACCCCATCACCCTCGGAGCTCTGACCCACCATCAGACAACCCGGAACATCGAGCTCCACCCAACAGCGTCACCTATCGGACCTATCCTAAAAAATGACCCCATCTTGACAGCCTCACACATCTGCTTCAAAGCCTGACAGTCTTTCTAATCTTGCAGAGCTCACTATTTCCATTCAGAAGGATTCCAAAAAGAGATGGTGAATGTTTGGCTCCTGATTAAAGCACACTTGGAATGCCATCAAGTGGAGTCAAGACCACTTCAAAGATTAACTGTTATGGAAATGGGATTTTCCCATTTTTAGCCTCTTATGGGCTCTATGCAGTACAATATCACGTGACATGTAAAATAGTAACAACGAACCAACTATTATCACCCAAAACACCCGATGTCCATGTGTCAGGGGATGACTCCCGGGTCCCCATGACCCTCCCCTATGGTCCACAGTCCCAGGTGTAACCAGCCCTGTCCAGGGCACAACCTACTGTGGGTCAGAGATGAGAAGGAAGTTAACTTCTCATCTTCCCACAGTGGCCACAATACATCAAAAACTTCCGGAGATATCCGGAAGTCACATGAGACCCGAGACCCGAGGTCCGGGCCATCCGGCCGCACTGAGCATCCGGCACAGGGTGCACGCGGGGAGTGCAACAGCCGGGTGCAGTCACTGGTGCAGGTGCAAGTGCGGGTGCGGATGCAGTATGGGCTAGGTCAGGGTGTATGCCCTGACACCATGTTATTGTAAACCCCACTGTTACAACATCTGTTACATTAATTGTAACATCTTCTCAATGTCACGGCCCCCTCCTGCACCCGAACGCTATAGAAATGGGCCAATTAGGCCCCATTTTTATAACATTAACAGTGCCACATACTATGTTTCAGGATGATTTGGATTGGGTTCATGTCAGGGTACCGAGCTGCTTGGACTCTAAGTCAAGGGATCCCGAGCCTTCGCTGGAGCTGAGGCTGAGGGGGACAGGATCAGTCTCAATGGGGGAACCCGGCAAAGCGGATTGCAATAGGGATTCCAGCTGAGCAGCAAGGGGAAGTGAGAGAAGAAAGTTATCTTCCTCACTCGCTACCCAGGGAATGATAAAGTCAGTATACCCAGCAAAGCGGGGCTGCTCTACAGAAGGAAATATAACAAATGTCTGTGCCAGTCCGGGGATGATGATCAGGCTGTGTGGGTATGGGGCAGGTGTGTCATCAGTTGTGTGTAAGCAGTCTGGACTTAACTGGGCTGTACTCTGACAGTTCAAAGGCATGTGCAGGAGTTGTGGTTTTCAGATTGATGATGGTGCTGTAGGAGGGATGACTGGATGACCCAAACATGTGATATTGTGGTGGAGATACCAACCCTACCATTTCTGCAGTTTCTGTAACCATCCCAACCAGGTAATAGCCCACCCAAGCATGTTAGTGTCTTGAAGGCCAACACATGCAGGTGCTTGAGAAAGACAGAAAAGAGAAGCATAGTAGGTAGTGCTGCTTAAACTCACTGTAAGAAGCAGGATGGAATGAGAGACTCAAGGGATTGGGCTGCCACCTCAGCAACTTAGGGCTTCATGTGTTTCTGGTGTGAGGCCCAAGGCCCCTTTTTTAGTCCTGAGTGACCTCACATTGAAGTGTTGTTTTCAATGGTGCCTCTCCATTCTCCTTTTGGGTTGTTATCAGTTAAACCCATCACCCAAGTTGCCCATAATATTCAGTTGACTAACCCTTGACCCTGTTATGCTGGCCCCTGCCAATTTATGGGCCCTCCACCTAGACTTCCCATGTATCTATATATACCATACTTGTAGATACAGTCAATAATCAACCAAAGTTTCCCCCTCTCTAGAAGACTCTTCCATCCACAAATTAGGGCCCCAATGTGTTACTGGGCACAGCACTCCTGGCCTGAGTCGCTGAGGCCACAGCCCTCCAAAACATTGAGTCATCTCTCTCACTTTGAATCCAGTCTTTGACAGGACCGGACTCACAATCTCCCAGCCCCCTAAGGCCTGTTGCACCTCTATCATTTTTTTGATATTTTCCAGACCAGGTTATGGCCACTCAGTTTCCATATGGGGCCACTTTCATGGTATTTTCACCATATCTCCCCCAGTTCTCCTCCAAGAAACCTCTGCTGTCCCACAAAGGACATTCCATCCCATTAGCTCCTGTCACTAATGCTACCCTTCTTGTACCCACTCCACAAGTCCTAATAAAGTGATTCCCTCATGAGCTTGCTGACCCAGCTTGTGGTTAACATCCCCTTTGTACTCCACTAGTTTATTATATCATCACGCTGTAAGCAGGCTAGGGATCTAACCCACTAGGAAAACAGGAAAGGATGGGGACCGGATTGGTATCCAACAGGTCAGGAAAAAAAGGGGTAATGGTGATAATGGTCCGGTGCGGTGCATGGGTGGCTCTAATCAATCTCTCACCCCACCTCTCTGGGTGACACTAAAGCGAGGACTGATCTAGAGGTCTTCTTACTGATGTTCTTCTATGTCGTACTACTCCCTACTAGCTTGGGAGGGGCAAACTCGGTGGTTTCTAATCCAAGGGGAAAAGTAGATACATCCTCATGTACAGGTATATATGAGAAATGATCAAATAAAAATGAAGGAAAATATCCGATGAGTCCCATGTGCTTAGGTGGATCATATCGGCAACAAACAATATCGGAAAAAGGAAGGGAAAACAATAATCAAGAAAACAATAAAGCAATAAATGATTTCCAGCCAAAAAATACCCAACTCTATCCATCGCCAATGAACTCCCGCTAATCATGGATCCCAATACTCCTAAATGACGCGTTTCCAACGGTACCAATATCGTCCAAATCGGTGCAGTGGTTGCTGAGATATGTGAAATCCAGTCTGAGTGTGGCCGCGCTGCTGGGTGGGCGTGGGAATTTGGTCTGTGAGGACTGGGAATGTGTTTGGAAAAATAGGAAAAAATCATGGAAGAGTAGGAATGGTATATGAGGACGTGTGTGATGTGTTTCGTAAAGTGGGGATGTGCAGGGATGGGGAAATCGCGATATTTGGTTCGTTTGTGCAGTACCGGCTGTGCCCGCCTACAACATACCATAGTTGATGGCACCTTAGTGCAAGAAATCAATGACCAAGCATCCCCCCAGAGACCCTGCCCCTTGCTTGAAGTTAAGGGCCACACAACAGTGTAACCAAACATAGGCACAGCCTCCCCTTGCTCTCTCCCTCCATCCTCATTTCCAGGGTCAGTGTTACAAAAATGGGGCTGGAGGCGCCCATTTTCGTCCGTTCTGGCGCAGGAATAGGGAAGGGGGTTGGACATAAGAGTTTACAGGTGGTTTCACAGATGATTTAACATGTTGTTTAACAGGTAGTGTGGCAGCGGGTTTTCGTTGATTATTGATTGGATAAACTTAATTATTATACAAATCATGTGATACAGAACCCATAAGAGTCTAAAATGGGAAATTCCCATTTCCATAACAGTCAGGTCCAGTGCCCTTTCTTGCACACATAACAGGAACCACATATCTGACAAACATAGAAAATCAATAAAAAATACTTTGAGCTTAGCACCAATAAGATAGAATGCTTGGGAGAATTTACAATGAATAATAAAGCAAAAAGAAGGCATTCAGATAAGATTTGACCAAGTATTTTACCAGTGTACCTCTGAGGAAAGTTTTTTCCCACGCCTGTACACTCAGGCAAGGCCAAAATGGAGGAAATGTACCACAAAACAAAGGTTCTAAGGAAACTAATGCAGAAACTGGTGTTGGATTTATCATAAGGACTTAGAAATAAACTCAATAAAGGTGTTTTCAGGAAAATCTACAGATAGAGGATGGAGAAAAAGCCAAGATTTGGAGATGAGAAAACTCCACTCATCTTACTCACATCATAATGACGTAACTGTTAGCCGAGATTGCGTGAGATATTTACATAGTTAGATTGCAGGTACAATTCATTGCACTATTATCGCTATCACGTCACCCCTTACCTGCTATCGCCTGTCCATCCACATCATCCATCCTCCTATCTGATGTCATACTTCTATTGGTTACCATGTATTCCCAGTGTAGCTGTGCTCTTGTGAGTTAGCAGAACTCATCGATATAAGTGTTATGGAAATGGGAATTTCCCATTTTAGACTCTTATGGGTTCTGTATCACATGATTTGTATAGTAATTGAGTTTAACCAATCAATAATTAACCAAAAACCCACTGTGCTAACATCTGTTACACCACATGTCAAACCATCTGTGAAACCACCTGTAAACCATTATGTCCAACCCCCTTCCCTATTCCTGTGCCAGAACGGACGAAAATGGGCGCTTCCGGCCCCATTTTTGTAACAATAAGGCTCTCATGCCAGCTAGGCTAGCTCCCTAGCTTTGATATCGACTAGTTTCCTGGGGATATCCTTATGCACAAACTGACACGTGGACTCTGACACTCCCCTCAATTACTGCAGGAGCTCTACTCAATCCACAAAGGGTTTTCCACCAATCTCATAGCTTTAGCTTCTGTCACTAATGCTGCCCTTCACTTACCCACTCTACAAATCCATAATAGGCATTTCTCTCATGCCCTCACTGACTGGACATGTGGATACCATTTATCACTGGTTTCCCTTTGTTCCCTTTTAGTCTTATATACATATGTGATGGCACCTCAGTGAAAAATCAATGACTGACAATCCCCCCAGAGTTTGTGCAACTCCTTCCACAAATTAAGAGCCACACCAGACATGTAAGAGATAAGAGTGTGTTGGCACAGTGCTCCACTACAAGTCACTGAGATCAAGGCTCCTCCACTTGTGCTCTCCCTCCATCCTCCCAGGGTTAGGGAACTGTCAGAGTACTGCAGTTCTCTGCCATTTATTCCATTTATCACTTCCTTTTTATCTCTCTCATGAGCCGAGTCATTTCTTATTTGTCAGAGGTCCTTGCCTCATGTCATTGTTTGTATGTCAGCTTATCTACACAGCCCCCACTCCCATGTCCCATATCCTTGGACCTCATGCCACATCCCTGTAATCCCTGCTTAACTGCCCCTTATTTACCACCTGGAAGCAGGGAGAGAAGTAATCTTCTTCTCTCACCCTTTTTGCCACTCAGGTAACCCTTGTCCAACTCTTTTCCACTTTGGAATCTGTTGGATCATAATCGTTAACCTGCCATCCTGACAGGAACATGGTGGTTGTCCTTGACAAATAGAGCTGGACTATTTTAATACTCCTTTGGGGTCCAAAGTTAGGATACAGATAATAAAATGCAGGAACAATGTTATGAATTGTCACAAGCCTGTGACTGCCATGCAATCACTTTTTTGCAATTCAATTCCACTTCGATGGCATCCACTTCACAGATGTACTCACCTCATCCTCCCCCTTGGGCTCGTTGAGCCAAAATTGCTGGAGAAAATTGCCTCAAGAAGAGAGAAGGTCCCACCCATATCCCAGTCAAAGAGATGGATCGGTCTTGGGTCATTCGGGACAGGCTCATTGGCAAATGGGGAGTATCGACCTCAGATGGACTCATATTGCCCCGAACCTAGTCAATCCAACCACAACAGGGATGTGGATAGAAGGTGGTCTCCATGACCAGTGTCACAGGCAACTGCTCAAAGGGACACCCACCCTAATCCGAGAGATTCAAATCTCGATTCTTCCCCATCTAGTCTGGTACCATATAGCACTGGAAGGCCACCATCTATCCTGCAGACACCAACTTTCACAATGCTGGTCAGTCCCATGTGGGTGGTGGACAGCAACACCAACACCACTGTGCCTGCATTCATCATCAACCTGGCAGCCCCTCCAACAATTGTTCATCCTCCTCCCTTGAACCTGCCCTACCCTCTGCCTGCACATTACTTGGGACAGGGTCCACACCCATCCTCCTCCAGTGGAGCTCAGTATGACACCCTCCCTCCAGAATCCTATTGTCAGGGTACCAAGCTGCTCGGACTCTAAGTCGAGGGATCCTGAGCCTTTGCTGGAGCTGAGGCCAAGGGGGACAGGGTCAGTCTCAATGGGGGAACCCGGCAGAGCAGATTGCAATGGGGATTCCAGCTGAGCTGAGCAGCAAGGGGAAGTGAGGACATATCATTTGTATATACTATGTGCAACATACCTGAGCAGTGAGGGGAAGTGAGAGAAGAAAGTTATCTTCTCGCTACCCAGGGAATGATAAAGTCAGTATGATGATGATAAATCTATCTTAATACCCTGCGGCCTCGTGATGTCATGGCAGTGCGGCTGTCCCATCAATACACTGTAGCGTACATGATGTGTGGGTAGTCTGGTTGGTATCGTCTGGTGTCAGCGACCCTCAGGTTATG